CCGGCCCCAAGTGATTGGGCCCCACGTCCAGCCCCGCAGCGCAAAGTGGCCGTTCAAATAATGGCACCGTTAGACCACACGGTGGGGGAGGCCACAGCTCGGGACGGTCCTTTCCACGAATTTGCATGTCCGGCCGAGTGTGGAGTCCGGCCTGATCGCGGAATGATCGCGCACAGCTCGCCCGGGGCGGCCAATCTGCCATCACGAGCGAGTAGTCGTTCCCCTGGGAGCGTTCACTCGGGTGGCGGACGGGACGGCCATCCCCTCCTCCCGTCCCGATCCTGGACCCGGGTCGGACGGAGCCTCGCCTCACCCGGCGCCGAATTGCTCCACATCCAGTCCCATCCCGTCAGCCTTTAGCCGAGCCATGAATAATAAAATGAGCAGGCCAAGCCAAAAAGCCTCGCCAGGACCGCAGCAGACTCGCGAAAGGGACGAGGGGGACGAGCAAGCTCCGGTCGGGATGGGCAGGGCCGGGCAGGGCCGGGCAGGGCCGGGGGAAGGGCCTTGGTCTCAGGGACGACCTCCCCGTGCGGACCCGGGCCGGGCGCGTCTAGCCTCGTCGAGGCGTGTTAAGCCGTTCCTTCCGATACGAGTCTCCGCTCAATTAGCACTGCGGCCTACGCAACGCGCCGCGTACCGATATGTGTCTGCGACGGCGCGGCGGCCGGGCGCTGGGATTGGGGTTGGGGATCCGCTGCCTCGGCTAGGGGCAGGCACTACCGCCGCGGGCCGGACTCCTCCGGCCACGAAGAGTCGACGGAAATATTCATCGCTGGCAGACAGGTCGGGCCGGGCCGGCTAAACGCTAACGCCAAGCCACTTTGGCAATAATTAAACGGTGATTGGAAGCGCGCGGTTCACTTGGCTCGCCCACTAAATACAGGTTGCGCCGGTCGGGACGTTCGGGACCGGAACGTCGCAATGTCAGCAGGGCTCCACCACACAGCAGCTCTCTAGAGCCATGTGAGAGGGAGAGAGAGGTGGGCGTGCCTGCGAGAGCGACCAGGACGCGAAAAGTGTTGGGAAGCCATGCTGCCGCGGTACGTACCCGCGCTGCACTGTACACGCTGCCCCGCCCTGCCAAGCGGGGCGCGGCGGGGCGTGGCGGGGCGCGGCAGTCAGCATATCATATCGCGACCGAGGCATTCCGAAAGGAGCAGGAGGAAACAGCGAGCTGCCGCTAAAAGTCTCGACTTTGCAGCCAATAGTGCTGCAGCGGCCCGACGCCGGCACTGCCACTTTATACGAGGCACTCCCCCCGCACGCGTCCTCATTGTCCTTTGGGTCCAGGGCCCTCCACGCACCGGTGCATGTAACGTATACGGGGGGCCGTCCCCCGGTGCACTGCCCAGGTGCCCATGACGTTCAGCTGATGGCTCGGGAGCTGCAGTCGCAGCCGGACGAAGGTCGCGAACGTCCCGGCCACGTGGGCCACTCCACCCTCCCAGTCTGGATCCGGATCTGCCGTAGCTCCAATCAGAGGGCACTCCCGGATGGCAGGCTGAGCCGGACGCCGGCGAGCGTGTCCACCCGCGTGTCCACTTGAGCCTGGGCTGGGCTCGGCCCCAGCGCAGCCCCAGCGCGCATGAGTGTCGGTTACTTCCCCACGGAAGACAGGAATGCCTGCATGTACGACGATGGTCTCACTCTCCTCACTTCACTCGCACCCGCAGTGCGGTGCAGTCGCTCTACACTAGGAAAGCTGCAAACTTTGTCACCTCCTGCGTGCGACGCAGAGGGACGGGTTGTGCAAACGCAGAGAGGCATTACATCGCCGAGGAGCGGGAGATGATCCGCGAACGACAGTGAGGATGTGCTGGGATGCCGATGCCGATCTGTACAGTCGAGCGCAAAAGAAGCGGACGAGATATCGCGAACGTGTTACACTCGAGAGAACTCGAGTCGTGTCTACCCACCTATGCTCATTAGAATTCTTTCTAACTGAATTTATAGCCTGAAGAAGGCGGAGTTGAACAGCAGCGACGCACTGCAGAACTAAGCCCATTGCATTTCTGTGAGTAAATTACTACGAGTAAAGTTGAATGCAAATTATTATCCCATCGAGGTTGACTGGTAATAGATTACTGATATTCATTGAATTTTCCTCGCCATATTTTCATTTTGTTTTCTTCTGCTACTCGTGCAAGAGCGACAGTCGCAGCGTTTATGTATTTCTTATTTGCGGTGGAAATATAACAACTAATACCGCATGGTACCGTGCCGGGGCCGGGGGGCGCCGTGGCGTGTGTGTGTGTGCACTCCACAGACGCACAAGTGCGCTCTCATCAGCGACCGTCAGCGACGACCTGCTCAGTCAGGACTCGCCGAGGGACGCCCCCCGCCGCGCCGCCCCCTGCGGCACTAGACCACCGACTCGTCGTGGACTCGCATGGCGCGCGCGCTTCACACCTCTCCGCCGGACTCGGCACGTGGCGTTGAGCCGCGGAGGTTGAGCTGCGGTCCGCACGGCCGGCGCCGCACAGAGAGGCTCTGTCTCCACGGGACACGGCGGCCTCTCAGAGCGACCGGCGCGACCGGCGGCCCAGCTCGCGGAGTGTGATTATCGCAGTCACGGGGTGGGGGCGTCCGGCAGCTAGCGTCGCCCACGCGCGCCGCGAAGTCCACGGGGCGCCGCCCCGAAGTCCCCCCAAGCTCGGCGTCCTGCCGGAGCGGTAGCCGGACCCCCCGGCGAGTGAGATGCTCGCGCCGGCAATAGGGTATTCCGCTGCAAGCCAACCGGAACCTAAAGAAGAAAAGCACGACTGCTCGATCTGCTTCCCGCTGTGCGCTCATTGGCTGACCGACGTGACAAGGTCATCGTTGACCAATCAGCGTTCAGAAGGAAAGAGATCAGGCAGTCATGCTTTTCTTCTTTAAGTTCCAGTTGGCTTGCAGCGGAATACCCTATAGCTCCACCTCACTCACACATGTTTCTTTACGTGCGCCCCTGCCACTGGGCCTGGTGGACCTCGCAGACCCCCGCCCCGCGCTGTCGGCGGTCTCGCGAAGAGCGGGCCGGCCCAGCCGTGATAATTGGCGAGTAAGTGAATGGCGGGCGACATGTTCAAGTAACCCCGGACGACACTGCTCGCTGGGGGCCGACGCCGACGGGCGGTCAGGGGAACGCCATTCTAGTGAAAGGAGGACGTATGTTTGTTGAAGTCGATTGTTGCTGCTGGTGACTGTCACTGTCTAATACGAAGACGGCGCTCGCTCGACGACGACCGACCAGGTGGCACAAACCAGCAGTATAATAGATGAAATTAGGTTCTTGCGGTCTTGCGCGTCCCCATGCCGACGACCTGCCTCCTCGTCCTCCGTCACGTCACCCCGCAGAGCGCGGCGTTGGAGTTGTTGTGCCACCGACGCGAACGAACTGCCGGGGAGGGGCGGATCGCATGCCACACTTTTGGTCCAGGAAACCCCCGCCGCCGTCGTCGGGGTCGGGAGGCGCGAAGTGCAGCGGCAATGCAGCCCGTCTCTCTAGGACGCTGCGCGACGGCCGCGAGCCAGCGGAGCTGCCCGCTCAGCATCCCGAGGCGAGATAAGAGTCCCGGCCGACACAAAGGTGGACTGCGCTGGGCTGGACGGGCTGCACATCCGCTGCGCCGGCCACAATCAAGGCGGCGGTGGTCCTGTGCTGTGGGCCCAGTGGCGTGCGTGCGCGCGTGCGTGTGCGTGCGTGCGTGTGCGTGCGTGCGTGTGCGTGCGCGCGAGCATCAGCTGTTGTGCCTGCGCCGGACGGGTCGCCCGCGGGCCAGAGTCCTGCACACCGCCGGCGCACGTGATGCAGCCGCTGCTGGCGGCGGCGCGGCGAGACTTTTCACTCGCTGGCGGTAACGCCCCTCACACATGTTGCGCCCGCCGATGTCAACACATCACGACGGCGACCACGCGAGCGACTCGCGCCGCCGGCCCCCGCGCGGTTTGGCGAGGCGGCCGCGATAGGACCCCGCGGCTATCGTTCGAGTCACGATGCTCTGGGGATCATTTGAGATAAGGCCAGCGCCGCCAGACCCGCCGGACCCTGGCCCTGCCGCCCCTGCCTGCAGCGCGGCCCGGGACCGCGCTGGCCGGGACCGGGACGGGAGGGGGAAGGAAAACGAGGTGCAGGAGGGCGCTGATGCAGCACCCCGCGTCGCCCCGCGTCGCCCCGCGTCGCCCCGGGACGTCTGATCTTTTCTTGACTTCTGCGGTCCCATGATGTTGACGACAGCACGGTTCTTTCCCCACAGGACGCCACTCGACGCCACCCTGCGCCGCGTCAGAATCCGCGTCAGGTTTCTCCGGGGGGTCCTACCCCTTCCACTCGGGTCAGCCCACAATAGGGTCACTCACAAGCTCGCCCAACGCGGCCTAGCTACTGGATAAAATAAAATCAACTTTTTGTGAAATTTGTTCGGTTTTTGAGTAGGTTCTGAACAAGGGGGTTTGGTGTAAGCTAGTGTTGACGAAACGCATAGGCACAGGCACTGTATCGAAATATTCTGAAAACTTACATATCCAATCTCCCTCACTTCATTTCATCATACTAGTAAACAATTTTACTTGGAGTGGTGACATGTTGAAGGTTATGGCTCTAAAACTACCACAGTTCAAAAAAAACAAGATATATTAAATCTTTGGTCCACAACGGATGACTTCAGTCTCGCGCCCGCGAGCCTTTCGCCGCCCAGCCGAGCCCATCGCCCAGCAGGTGCATCTCCCGTACGACCCCCCACTGGGAAAAGGAAAGGATTCGTCTTCTTCTCTGAGCGCATCGGAGACGCAGCGCTGCGGCGCGGGTAATGGGCTGGGCCGCGTCACAAGTAACGAGCACGGCAACGCAACCTACTTCCAGGTGCCACCTAATCACACACGCACCTGCCGCCTCAGAAACGGCGCAGAATAGTGATCGTGTTCGATGTGTGTGGCCGACGGGAAGGAGCCCCCTCCCTCAACCCCCATCCGGCGTAACGTCAATAACAAAGTGATGCAAGAGAGCCCAGGGTACTCACCAACGTGTGCTGGTAGCTGTGGGAGTCCTGGGCGTGCAGCTCGACGCCCGGCTGCGACGTGGGGGACATGGCGGTGGCTGGGTGTTGCTGCTGCCAACAACGGGTACGTATCCAGTAAGGGTGAGCCGCCGGGGCGCCCGGGCGGGGAGCTGGACGCGGGGTGCGAGTGCTGCCAGGACCGCGGGGGCGCGGCAGAGGCGCAGCACGACGGGTCACTCACTGCCGAGGACGACGTCGACAAAGTACCGAGTACTCGACGGAATCAGAGAGCCGGCCCGGTGGTCCGACCTGGCGAACGCGAGAGCCGGCAGTCGCTTCCACTCTCCATGGCGATTAGAGTCCGACTGACTCAGCTGAGGAAAGGAACCCGGGCCGGCAAGGCGGGGCGGGGCGAGGAGCGGCGCGGGGCGGCGCGGGGCGGCGCGATGCGAACGCGACGCGGCGACCGACGCGTTGGTTTGACGGCTGGCTCTGCTGTTCGGCGGGCGCGCCGGGCCGGGCCGCGACGCGACGCGGTGGGACGCGGCGGCCAGACTTTGCGCTGCTAGTTTGCCTCCGGGCAAAACGGCGTGTGTGGGGACGCGGTGAGGCACGGCCGCAGGCGCAGGCTAGGAGCTCACGAGCCAACAGGATGCAAAACGCCTTATGGAATACCGGCGATGGCGAGCCACCGCCACACACGTGGAACTAGCAGGTGGACCTGGACCTCCGGGCTTCTTGTCACCTGGCCCGTGAGCGCCTTTGTTCGTTACATAGTGCTGCTTGAATATGAAAAGTCTGTCAACGTCGCAGAGAGGCTTTCCTGGGGTGTCCTGCGCGACATGCGAGTAAGTTTTCTTTTGAGACGCCTCGTGCGGTGACTTCTTGGCGACCCGCATGCACCGCTGCATGCGGTGCAGCATGCCTCTCAGGGGCTCTCTTCTTGTACCATCTCACCGATCTCACCTGGGTGGGGTCAGGGTTGGTGCGTTCAGCGAGGTGTTGATTTTGCCGTTTGACCCGTGGGACAATCACCGCCCATAAAGACGTATTTTCGATTAAATTTAGGACGAGGACGAGTGAAGTCGTACTTCCGAGATGTCGAGCCGCGTTGAAATGGTCGATATTGCGCCTCAGGTGTCAGCGACATGGGCTTAACTCGGCGTCATGTAGCCTGATCCTGATAGGGATAAACACAGTTCGAGGCGCATAATCTCACATTTTTGACATTTCGATTTCGGAATCTCCATTCGCGTCGAAGCAGCAGCGCTGACGGAGCTGAGCGAGAAGCGAGATTGGGCAACCGGTTTCAATCCGGTTCTCAAGTAGATACTGCATTCGTTGTCGAATCCGCTGCAATAATATCGGTCAAAGCCGAGTGACCCCCGGGCAGCACAGCCTTGGCACTGCCGCATTAGATACGCCAGGATCGCCCGGCCGACTTGACTTTCACAACGCGTCATTCTTTTACTCTTTCTTTTGATAAGTGCGCATGCCGGCAGGCACATCGCGCGCCAAGGAGGTTTACTGTTGCGCGCTCCCCCTCGCGGCGCGGGTCGGATGGGTTGCCTGCACACCAGGCGCTACTCGAGCTCTGAACGAACAGACAAGAGGTACGTACTGGTGCGAGTCTCGACTTGTTCGGATTCCCGAAACAATCAGGCAGGGTGGAGGAGGAAGAAGAGGGCGTGTGTCAAATAAAAGAGTGGGTAGGTTTTAAACGTTTTATTTCATAACATGTAGAATAAAGTATAAATTAAAACAGAAAATAACGTTCCTAAATTTGTCAATTTTTAAGTTTGTAAATCGCTTTACACTCCTCTGTTCAAATGGTAAAATAAAACTGAATTTCAAAATTAATGGTCCATTAAGTTCATACAAAATTCATAGTTCATCTCAGTCGGTTTTAGAGTCCAATCATTTCTGGCATCTTACCTTTAAAATTCTATGGTTAGCTGATTTAAAATGGTTAGAACTGCACAAACATATTTATAATAAAATTATTAGGCTACAAAAGCAGAGGGAGCTCAAGCAATCTTCTCTGTTCATTCCTAAACTGAGCACCTTTACTAGATAAAGTTACCCATTTTAGGACTTCTTTTCTTTTACACATATACAAATACATTAATCGGGACTAAAATTCGAATTCATTATAATACTTCATAATATGGCAACTTTTACATCTTCGTGAAAAACACAGTATCCATTTACATTTTCATTCAGCATGGGGGTAGAAAAATGAGCTTCAATCATGCTACTCCGGACCCTTGATCTTTTATTCAACTGCTTGGTTGTATAACCAGCCAGTCAGTTTAAGCTCAAAATTAATTCTGAACGTTCTCTTGGAATGGCCAAGCAGCTTGTGAAGCGTCAAGCACATTAGCCTCGCAGTGGGAAACTACTCCGAATCAGCTGAAATTTCGTGTTCCTGGACGGTATGGGCTTTTTGTACTGCGGTCTGGTTTCTTGGTTTACTCATTCGCTCTCGCACTCACACACGCAAACGCACACACACTCACACACATTCACTCACTCACACTCATTCACAGCTGGGCCTGGGAACCTCTCCAGGAGGCGCCCGTGTTGAGCATGGCGTAGCTGGTGGAGTAGGCCACGCTGCCGTACAGCTCCGAGTGACTGCCGGGGGAGTGGTTGCCCTGCAGGAATCGATTCAGCTCCTCCTGCGTGTCGAAGATCATGACGGCAAACGGAGAGCCGGGCACGTGGTCGCCCGCCCACTTCACCTCGACGCGGTAGTCACCGGGCTCCGTGGGGTCGAACTTGCACAGGATGGTGCGGTCCTTCTGGCTTCCCCGCTGCATCTCCACACGGAACGCTCCTGCAAGACAAAGACACACGCCCGTCAGTAGTGTCTCTTTAGTGGGCCGACAAGGGCCTGTTCGAACAGCATGCGAGGCTCACCTTTCGGTCCACGGATGCGCACGGTGAGCTGGCCGGCCCCGGCACCGCGTGTGTCGCAGATGAACCTGGACTGGAAGGTGGCGAGCACGCCGTGCTCCACACCGGGGCCGTACACGCGGAC